GACTCGATCCAGGGACTCCAGGATCATGACCTGAGCCGAAGGCAATCGCTTAACCAAATGAGCCACCCAGGCGCCCGGGAGATCACTATTTTAGATAGGGTGATCCATAGGCCTCTGATAACTGTAGATCAGAGATTTGAAGAAAAGGAAGAAACAAGCCCTGCAGATATGTGGGGTAAGTGCCTTCCAGGCAGGGTGGAAATATGCTTGGTGTGTTCCAGCAACATGAGGCTGCTGGGGCTGGGATGGAATGAAGGAAGCAGTGAGATAGCCAGGGGCTAGATCATATAGGGCCAGTAGGCCATCTAAAGACCATTGTTTTCGGGTGATGGGGTTTGATTAATGTTTTAAGATAAAGCATAACTCTAGCTGGTACTGCAACAGAGCTGCAAGGAGGTGAGTGTAGAAGTAGAAGCAAGAAGGTCAGGCAGAGGTGTCTATGGAAGCCCTATCATTAGAATGTGACCAAATATGGAAGACAGGGACACTGGAGTCAAGGTCTGTTTCTGGAGTTAGAAAAAATAGAGTAAGAGCGAGATCGAGAGAGAGAAAGTCCTGTGACCTATGTAATTGGATATTTTGTTTAGAACTTTAAACAAATCTCAAAAGTTATGACCTGATATTTTATATTGAGACTTTAAAAAAATGGTAACGTTTTATGATCCAAGTAATACAGGAATATATTCTGCTTTAAAAATAATTAAGCAACTACAACACAATAATAACAATTAAACATTCCAGGTAAGGCTAAAGCCCTCCTTGACCATTGGACATCTCTAGACACAGGATTTTGTCATTATAAGTGGGATTCTGTTAACGTGAATCTGACATACTGGGATCTGGGTCTCTGAGCCTGAGCAAGGATTTTATTTGTTTTGTTTTGAGCAAGGATATTTTAAAAAGGGTTTTTTTGCAAGATGAATGTTACTGTTTTCCTCTGGGGACATTTTTCCTCTCACCATGGGGCTGAAGGGACCCGTTGAATTTCTCCTGTCAGCAGCATCTCCTCAGCTAGAACAAACGTTCCACGAACTTCAACCAGTCCTTTGGCTGAAGGCACGGGGAGTGATCCATTTGTTTGTGTGACTGAGCTTGGCTTTTTCCATGCCCGAGGGACAGGTAGGTCTCCTGGAGACTCAGAGAACAGCAGGAGGGGAACTAGGGAGAAGTCTGCTCCTGGGAGTGTTGCTGCTGTTGGCCACAAACCCCAAACTCTTTCTTTTCCAATGAGCAGGGAATATGAAGTCCATAAGTGATTTCCCTTCCTGTTCTCCCTCAGCCTGTCTAATTACTGGAAGACTCTGAAAGAATTCTTTTGTTCCGATACATCCGCTATCCGAACTGTTTAAAAGGAAGTAAGACATGGTGGCTAGAGGGCAGGTTCTGGAACTGGATGCCAGGTGTCAGGTCTTAGCCCTCTTCACTTACCAGTCACCAGACCTTGGGAAGGGGCCTTGACCCTTCTGACCTCATCTGTAAACCAGGGCTTGTTGTGAGGATCAAATGCAGTAACGTTTATAAAAGCGTATTGTAAAGTATTACACAAATGAGGACATCAACACGATATTCCATAGTTATGTACCTTTTCTGTATATTTCTAATCAATTCCTTTGAAAATTATTTGTTGTTGAGCAGGCTGTCTGTTTAGATAATAACTTAAAATTAATCTTTGGATTTCTATTGAAGGGATGAAATACTTATTTAAAAATCAGTGAATTTTAAAACTGGAAGAGGTTTTGTTTTGTTTTTTTTTTTTAAAGATTTTATTTATTTGACAGAGACACAGCAAGAGAGGGAACACAAGCAGGGGGAGTGGGAGAGGGAGAAGCAGGCTTCCCGCCGAGCAGGGAGCCCGATGCGGGGCTCGATCCCAGGACCCTGGGATCACGACCCGAGCCGAAGGCAGATGCCTAACGACTGAGCCACCCAGGCGCCCCTAAAACTGGAAGAGGTTTAAGCGATCTCTAGTACAGTGTTTCCCACCCTTTTTTACTTTGCATTTTTTAGACAGGGAAGATTTCCCTAATGAAATTTTAATACCAGAGATATGCTGCATGTCTGTTTTTGTACTGTGTCCTTTGGGAGGGTCACAAGCCATTTTAATATCTAACATCCTCCTACCCCACAAACAGTGACCCCTCTTGGGGTGATTATATCTATGAGAGTTGGAACTGCTAAGTTAATTAACTTTGGACTAATTATTTAATTCTGTCTTACTGGTATAGACCATGAAACCTTGAAAAAGCTTGACCACATGACTCAGTTTAAGTTTGTAAAACAGATCTATGAACAACCAGACTTTAAAACTATATATTTTAACTCTTAAAACAACCAGGTTTTTTTTTTTTTTTTTAAGTTTTATTTAAGTAATCTCTATACCCAACATGGGGCTTGAACTTACAACCCCAAGATCAAGAGTCACATGCTCTTTCCAATAAGCCAGCCAGGCGCTCCTGAAATAACCAATTTTAAGGGTTAGGAAGTGAATGTATTAGGTGCTTGGATGAAAGATACCACAGGAAGTGTTTATTACTGTATGTTATGGGATCGTCTTAGTGTGAAGCAATCACGTTGTAGCTGGAAGCGCTTCCTGAAGGTTGACCAAGAGGAGACTAGTTTGTGAGAGTGCTTGACGTCCTGCTGGTGGGTAGCAGATAAGCTGCCCTGGTGAGCAACAACTACATCTGGTCCATTACCTTGTTCTCGAGAAGGCTAAGAACCACTGGGTTTCCACAGTTCCTAGTGATTGAAATCTAGCAATACACAGAACTATGTATGAGTGTTTCAAGTTTTGTAGGTGATTAAAGTAACCTCTTGTTAGCGTTGATATCTGTTAATACCCTGGGTCTCTTAAAAAATGTATGTTAATTTTACATTTTTGGTATCTTAAGGGGATGTAATGAACTGTTTCTGTTTTAGGTTTTAATTCACAATCCTCATACCCGGAGCCAGCATTTCAGTGCCTCCAGGGTCTTCCAGAGCCCCCTGGAGTCTGATGTTTCGCTTCTCAACATTAACCAGGCAGTCAGCTGCCTGACCGCAGGAGCTCTGAACCCAGAACTTGGGTATGATGCTCTTTTAGTGGGGACGCAGACTAATCTTCTGGCTTATGATGTCTACAATAACTCAGATTTGTTCTACAGAGAGGCAAGTATACCCCTTTACAACCGTAGCGTTCTCATTACTCGTGAATGTCCGTTGGTATTTTATGCTTGAAAGAGATGAGACATTTATTTTGGTTTGCTTATTGTATGGCTCTTGTAATGTAAACAACTCGCAGATTTTTCCATTTCCATCTGCACTCTGCCTGACACTTGTTTTATCATGGTTGGTAACCACTGGGCACCACTCCAGCTTGTCTCCCATAAGGTTCATCTGTGCTACCACCACCTGTCAGGATCTCTTGAGAGCTCAGCCAAGAGCCGGGAAGTCAGTGATCAGACCTCCTGGTAGCTTTGCAGTGAAGTCTACTATAGTAGTTTATAGGAGAAGCCACTTACTGTTCTCTGCCATCTACAGGCTACAGGCTTTTTTTTTTTTTTTAAAGATTTTATTTATTTATTTGAGAGAGAGAGAATGAGAGAGAGCGAGTACATGAGAGGGGGGAGGGTCAGAGGGAGAAGCAGACTCCCCGCCGAGCAGGGAGCCCGATGCGGGACTCGATCCAGGGACTCCAGGATCATGACCTGAGCCGAAGGCAGTCGCTCAACCAACTGAGCCACCCAGGCGCCCCAGGCTACAGGCTTTTTACCCAAGTTACTCATGTTTATTATGGAAAAGATAGGGAGGCAAAAAAAAAAAAATACTCATAATTTCTCCATCTAGAAAGAACACAACCCTTGAACTGATTTTTACTAAATGAATTTTTTTTTTACAAAATGGGATCATACTAAATACGTGTAGCCTTTTTTCCTCCAACTTATTATAACATATTAACATATATTAAGATATGATTCACATACCATACAATTCACTCATTTAAAGGATACAATCCAGTTGTTTTAGTTTATTCAGCGACTTGTGCAGCTATCACCACAATCAGTTTTTTTGAAGATCATTTATCTATTTGAGAAAGAAAGAGAGAGAGGGGAAGAGCAGCAGAGGGAGAGGGACAAGCAGACTCTGTGCTGAACGCGGAGCCCAATGCGGGACTTGATCTCATGACCCTGAGATCATGACCTGAGCCAAAATCAAGAGTTGGATGCTCAACTGACTGAGCCGCCCAGGTGTCCCCTCACCACAGTCAATTTTAGAACATCTTCATTATCCCAAAAAAACCCAGTACCCATTGGTAGTCACTCCCCATTCTCTCCCAACCTGTGTTGCTTAGGCAACCACTAATCAACTTTCTGTCTCTGTAGACTTGCCTATTCTGGACATTTTGTATAAACAGAATCATATAATAAATGGTCTTTTGTGACTAGTTTCTTTTTCTTTTTTTTTTTAAGATTTTTATTTATTTGCGAGAGAGAGAATGAGAGACAGAGAGCATGAGAGGGAGGAGGGTCAGAGGGAGAAGCAGACTCCCTGCTGAGCAGGGAGCCTGATGTGGGACTCGATCCCGGGACTCCAGGATCATGACCTGAGCCGAAGGCAGTCGCTTAACCAACTGAGCCACCCAGGCGCCCTAGTTTCTTTTTCTTAGGATAATATTTTCAAGGTTGATCCATGTCATAGCATGTATCAGTACTTCATTTCTTTTTTATGGCTGAAGAATTTTCCATTGCATGGACATAGCATATTTTCTTCATCCAGTCATCAGCTAATGGACACGTGTATTGTTTCCACTCCCTGGCCCTTACACGTGGCCTTTTTATTCAATACCACACTGTGAACGTCTTTATATGAAGTTACTGTATATTCATACATCATTCTTATTGGTTCTAAATTTTTTTCATTGTGCTACTATATAATAATTTGCTTAATCAATTTCATATTGTTGCATATTTATGTTATTTCCATAGTTTCTGTATTACAGTTGATATTTTGATAAGCATATACCTGATGATTTCCTAAGGATAAGTTCCTAGAAATGCAGTTATTTTTGGGGGGGTATTTTTTAATTGAGATAAAATATACATACAGTGAAATGCATAAACCTTATGTGTACTGTTCAGTGCGTTTTGATCCCTGTAACCAATGTGCCCTATAAAAATATAGAATTTGTCCATCACTTCAGAAAATTTTGTTGTGCCCCATTCCAGTCATTTCCTATATCTCCTAGACATTCAGTGTTCTGATTTCTGTCACCTTAGCTTAGCTTTCTCTGTTCTTGAACTTCATATAAATCCTCCAGAATGTGCTCCTTGGTATCTGGCTTCTTTCATCCAGCATGTCTGTGAGAATCATCCATGTTGTTGCATAGAGCAGTAATTCTTTTTTGTTGCTGAGCAGTATTCCATTGTGTGAATATACCACAATTTGTTTATTCATTCTTCTGATCATAGACAGGTGGGATGGACATATTGGGTTGTTTCCATTGGGGCAATGATTAATAAAATGGCTATAAATATTTTTGTACTAGTCTTCTTATGGGCATGTGATTTAACTTATCTTGGGTAAATACCTAGGAATGCTTGTACCATTTCACACTTCCCATCAGCAGTGTATGAGAGTTCCAGTTGCTCCATACTTTCTCAACATTTGGTAATCCCAGTCTTTTCAATTTTAGCCATTTTAAGGTGTAAAGTGGTATCTTATTGTGGCTTCATTTTGCATTTCCCTCATGACCAATGATGTAGAACACCTTTTCTTGTGCTTAGTTCCCACTTATCTGCCTGCTTTTGTAAAGTGTCTAATAAAAAGGTCTTTTGCCTGTTTTTTATTGATACTTTGGGTGTATTATTGATTTGTAGATTTTCTTTGGCTATACTGGGTATGAATTCTTATATATATACATATATAAAATAATATTTACAATATATATAGCAAATAACAATATGTATAACAAGTATCTTCTCCCAGTACATGGCTCATTCCAATAAGTAGGTGTCTTTTGATGAGCAAAAGTTTCTGATTTTGTTGGAAGTCTAGCTGTTTGGTTTTTTTCTTTAATAGTTAGTGCTCTTTCTGTCCTGAGAAGTCTTTGCCTATTTCAGGGTCACAAAGATATTCCTCCTGTATTTTTGTGCAAGACTAAAATTGAGTGTAGGGGCTCCTGGGTGGCTCAGTTGTTGAGCGTCTGCCTTCGGCTCAGGTCATGACCCCAGGGTCCTGGGATTGAGCCCCACATCGGGATCCCTGTTTGTCAGGAAGCCTGCTTCTCCCTCTCCCACTCCCCCTGCTTGTGTTCCCTCTCTCGCGGTGTCTCTGTCTGTCAAATACATAAATAAAATCTTAAAAAAAAAAATAAAATAAAATTGAGTGTAGGACGGGTATATGTACATATAGGGAGAGAGAGAGATTAACTGGTTTATTTTAAGGAATTGGCTCAGACAATTGTGGAGGCTGGCAAGTCCAAAATTTGCAGATTAGGCATCATCTAGGGGAGAGATGATGTTGAAACTTGAGTCCAAAGACAGTCTGGTGGCAGAATCCTTTCCTCCAGGGAGGTCAGTCTTTTTTTCTATTAAGGCCTTAACTGATTGGATGCGACCCACCCATATTATCAAGAGCAATCTGCTTTGCTCAGTCTGCTGATTTAAATGTTAATCTCATTAAAAAAAATACCTTCACAGAAATACCTAGAATAATACTTGGTTCAATATCTGGGTACCATGGTTTAGCCAAGTTGACACATAATTAATGATCTCAAGAATGCACCTCTGCAGTTGCTACATTAAAGGCCTTTTTTAAATGAGATTTTTGATAGGTATTGCTAAATTGCTCTCTACGAAGACTATTATTTTCCACCTTCCCCACAGAATATGAGAGTGCCTGTTTTATCACACCCCAACCAACAGTGGATAATATTTTTTTTTGTCTTTCTAATCCGAAAATTGAAAATGATACATTGTGAGAATGAAGATTTTCATGTTCATTGGTGATTTGTATTTCTTGTGAATTTCCCGTTCTTTTTTTGGCTTGGGTGTTTATCCTTTTCTTATTTATTTGCTTTCTATTACCTCTTTTATTTTATTAACAAAAAAATTAGTTCTTTGTCTTAGATATTGTAGGTGTTTTCCCAGTTTATTGCTTACCTTTTTATCTTTTGATTGATTTGCCATTTAGCAGTTTTGATTTCTAATGAATTTTTCTTTCCTTTATAGCCAGTCTTTTTATAGTTTTCCCATGTGCAGATTATATAAATAAGGACTGTTTTCTTGTATAATAAACAAATAGATAAACAATCTTTCCAAAGATACCCTTGAATTTTTTTTTTTTTTAAGATTTTATTTATTTATTTGACAGAGAGAGACAGCGAGAGAGGGAACACAAGCAGGGGGAGCGGGAGAGGGAGAAGCAGGCTTCCCACGGAACAGGGAGCCCAATGTAGGGCTTGATCCCAGGACCCTGGGATCATGACCTGAGCCGAAGGCAGACGCTTAATGACTGAGCCACCCAGGCGCCCCGATATCCTTGAATTTTTAAAAAATAAATTAAATTATACTTATGTGCTTTATTCAAGAAGTCTGGAACATTTATTAATTTTGGGTGGTGGGGATGTAGGTGTTTTATTATTCTTTGTGCTTCTCAGGAACTTTACAATTAAAAAGAGTACTAGCAAGAGAACTAGGTAATAAGTATTGAAAAGATTTCCATCCGACATGGTTAAAATAGATTATAAAAGCTTGGGCGTTTTAAAGGTGTAAGTTTGATTCTGGCAAGCATTTGGCCTCTAGAACTCATAGTTCTAGAGAGCCTCAGATTCTGTAGCAGTTTATTGTGGCGGATTAGTGTGAGAGGCCAGCAGCCTGAGTCGATCCTGGGTCTCTGCTCATCCCTGTGGAAGCACACATAAGCCACAGTGACCGTCCCCAGTGCACGGCCCTGGCCTGCCTCTCAGGAGAGACCATGTGGCTTCTCACAAATGATGACAGAGATTTGAGTATTGAAATAAAGATAAGGATATATGTTACATCCACTGTGCCTGTGCATCACTGAATCTGAGATTTTATGTGTTTCTTGTCCTTCTTAGGTTGCAGATGGGGCCAATGCAATTGTGCTGGGAACACTGGGAGACATTTCCTCTCCTCTTGCCATTATTGGTGGAAATTGTGCTCTGCAGGGTTTTGATCACGAAGGAAATGATCTCTTTTGGACGGTATAAGAACAAAACATTCTCTTAATCCTCTTAAACATTTTTACTTTTAATGTTCTTTATGCTTTGTTTGTTTTTTACCATTGACTATAATGAATAAGAAAAATGAAATAGAATCATATTTATAATTCTGTACATTAAAAAAAGAACATTTGTAATTTGAATAATACCCATTGGTGATTTGTGTAATCCTCTTTCATGTAGCTAATGTATTTGGATTAAGTGAAAAAAAGATGGCATATTAACGAGCTTTGGTTTTATTTTCAGGTTACTGGAGATAATGTTCATTCCTTGGCCTTATGTGACTTTGACGGTGATGGTAAGAAAGAGGTGTGTGGAGGAGGAGATACTTATCTTGCGTGTTCAGCTGAATAATTTTCCCATGACAATGACATTAGTGTTAAGAGAAGCGTTAGCTTCTCTTGGTTCATTTTGGTGCTCTCTTGCCTAAATGACAAGCTAACTGGCCTCATTTGTCTTTCTCCTCTTTTGAACAATACATCACTTGTGTTTGTCTAATACAAAGATCAAGGCCATGATGTTTCAGAGACAGGGCAGGGAGAGAGGGCAGAATGGTAGATGAGACCACAGCCATATTCACAATCTTACAACTCACTTCTGATGCTTTGAAACCAACATTTTCAGGAATCGAAAAGTTTTATTTTTTTAATAATTTTTTTAAAAGATTTATTTATTTATTTGACAGAGAGATAGAAGCACAAGTAGGCAGAGAGGCAGGCAGAGGGAGAGGGAGAAGCAGGCTCTCTGCTGAGCAGGGATCCTAATGTGGGACTCGATCCCAGGACCCTGGGATCATGACCTGAGCTGAAGGCAGCCGGTTAACTGACTGAACCACCTGGGCACCCCAGGAATCGAAAAGTTTTAGAGATGGGCTCTTAGCCTTTGAAATTATTGTGATGGCCCCTCTAGGAATCAGCTTCTTTCTTTAAAGATTTTATTTATTTATTTGACAGAGACACAACGAGAGCGGGAACACAAGCAGGGGGAGTGGGAGAGGGAGAAGCAGGCTTTCCGCTGAGCAGGGAGCCCGATGCGGGGCTCGATCCCGGGACCCTGGGATCATGACCTGAGGCGAAGGCAGACGCTTAATGACTGAGCCACCCAGGCACCCCTAGGAATCAGCTTCTTGAGCAGCCCACCAAGTGCTGTGTCAGGTGCCGACTTACCTGTCTCTTGTCCATGGCTACTGGTCTCTGGCTTCCATCCGCAGGCAGAGAAGGGCACTGAGCCAGGGAGTGTTTTCAGCTGCTTGGTGGAAGGACATATTCTGGCACGATGTGCAGCCCGCACACAAGGATAAAACCTTGTAGTGGCCACTTTTTCTTCACTAACTGAATCTGGGGACTTTCCCAATGGGAGGAAGCTTCCCGAGTACCAGATTCTTGGGAGATGGAAACTCTTGGGTGGCAGTAGCAGTGTATAAAGTGTCATGCAGTTTTTTGTCTTATCTCTGGGCATTCTGCTGGGTTCACTTGTTGAACTAACTATGCATGATTCTTTTCCCTTTCAGCTTCTTGTCGGGTCAGAGGATTTTGATATCCGAGTTTTTAAAGAAGACGAGATTGTGGCAGAAATGACAGAAACAGAGGTAAGAAGTGCCACGTCAGAGTCATGGTAACCTTGGGCAAGATTGATCAGCACCGTGAAATGTCACATCAGATGAGAGTGCTGGGACTTCTCACAGCCCAGACAGTTATGGGGTAAAAACTGGGGGGGGTTAAACAGAACTGCACATTACAGAGAAAGATGTGCTTCAAAATCCTGTATCAAGATATATTTTGAGAGTCAGCGGGGAGGAGGTGGTGGTGGCAGGGAAAAAAAAAGATATATTTTGAACAGACTGATTAAAAGAGAAAAATTATGGAGTACATAAAGGCCTTTCTTTTAATGAGTTAATGCATATTGATAATAATAATAACACTAATAATGGTAACCATTTATTGTGCACTGAATAGATGCCAGATACTGTTCTAAGTGCTTTATGTGAATAAATTCATTTAACCCTACAACAGCCCTATTAGGAAGATATTATTATTATTATTCCTCTTTACTGATGAGGAAACTGGTGTAAAGTTTCTTTGTTAAATTACTCACACACGGTCATAGCTATGAAGTGGTGTGGTCAGGATTTGAACTTTGCCTTGTCTGCCTCCTCCTCATCATGTATATTAAATGGGATTGAGTGAAGTACACAAACAAGATTTCTGTAACTTTTCTTCTTCATTCAAATTAAGTACTTCTTAGGCACATTTCTGTCTGTAAACTTAAAATCACATGTTGGAGAACTTGGCTTGTTTCTCCGTGATTAGAATTAGTCATGGGGTACCTGGGTGGCTCAGTCATTAAGTGTCTGCCTTCGCCTCAGGTCATGATCCCAGAGTCCTGGGATCAAGCCCCACATCGGGCTCCCTGCTCAGCAGGAAGCCTGCTTCTCCCTCTCCCACTCCCCCTGCTTGTGTTCCCTCTCTTGCTGTCTCTCTCTGTTAAATAAATAAATAATGTCTTTAAAAAAAAGAAAAAGAATTACTCATGTAATAGAACCTGGGATGTTGCTGAAAGAGTTTAAACTTCATTTGTCTATAGATTGCCCTCATCCACTGTAGTTTTAGCATTCTTAGGATATTTATTTGCTGCTGGTTCTCCAGGATTGGGCAAGGTGGAAACAGAAAAATGAATTAGGATATTCTGAAGGAAGAAAGGAGAAGAGGATAAAGGAGCAGTGGCTCGTGAACATTCTAAAGGGGTAGCAAACACAACAGAAGGGAGTCTGAGCCATCAGGATGCTGGGATCCTGCAAAATTTATTCAGGTCGTGTCTGAGAGTCCAGATCAGAAAGCTTGAGGGCACTGGCCTCAGAACCCATCCTAGCCACTTGTCCGTGCCACTTGCCACTTACAGAAGCTGTGTAGGAAAGTCAGGCTTCTGTTCCACTAACTACAAAAAAAGACCAAAAAGCAGAACTTGCATATTGATATACAAAGTGTTATCCTTGATTTAGCTAATTTATCTTTATCCTATAGCGAGGATCATAGATTTTTACTTAGTTATACTGTGCTTTTTATATATTCACAGTTATTTTAATTGTAAGCTGATAGTTGTAGGTAGAGAAAATTAATGACCCTAATGAAGGCTAAGGGGTTCTGTTTAAGTGTCCGTGCTTAACGTGTGATTTTTTTTGGAGAGTGTCCTTAGCTTTCATTAGGTTCTTAAAGGGGTTTGCTACTCCCTCCTTACCCCCTTCAAAAAAATGCCAACTTACGAATCAGTGGTCTGTAGGTGCTGTGTCCTGCATTATTGTTTTTCTTTCATTCAAATTGGTAGTAAATTTTTCCAGTTTGGTGGGTTTTTCTTTCATTCAAATTGGTAGTAAATTTTTCCAATTTGGTGGGAATTATTCAGATTTTGTTGGATTTCTGTTTATTGTCAATCCTAGATGTGAGGAGGCTACATTCTTTGAAACATCTTTTTCCTAAATCCTAGACAAGGACAGGAGACCATGAAATAGAGGTAGGGACTTGAGCTGACTGTTGGGCCTCTGGTCCCTGGTCCAACAAAAGAGAGAAACTAGTGAACTAATTAATGAAGGACGAAGGGACCTACAGAATTTGGGGCTAAGTTTATGAAAATCTGAACTTTATAAATCAGGGCCATTTTCCTGTCCTTTTGGTTTGATTTTGCTCCTAGCTCAAATGTCATTTCACAGATCAGCAAAATTATAATTCGTTTGGCAGTTGAACAGTACTGACTATTGCCAAAAGAATGCCTTGAGCTAAATAATTCTGGAATCCTACACAGCACTTTGCATTCAGAGTTAAGTGAAGTGGGTGGTTTTGTAGAAAAGCTGTAGGTGTAGAGGAAATTATATAACTATTCTCTGCTTTATACACTTTATTTCTTAATATCTCTTGTATTCGTGTCACAATTAGAAAGTAGATCTGCAAGAGCATAGATATCATTAAGCTTTGGTTTTAACTTTAAAGGATAATTTTGTTCAGTATCTAAAATTTTATCCCTTTAAATAAAGGTGTTAAATCCTCAAACAGTCCTATAAATATTTCTGTATGATATTCACATTCTGTATATTGGGTACATACATACACAAATCCATGTGCTTGGGTTTGTAACTTTTCAAAGAATTATGTTTTCTTCTAAAAAACATCTTTCATCTAGCAAGCAATAAATTATGTCATAGGAAGAAAAGCGTGTACATAAAGGATATTCAGTTGTGAGTTTTACAAGTCTTTACAATTTAGACTGTAGGATATTAAAACATTTTTTGAGTTAGTGTTTATAACAGTGTCTGTTGTACATTTTCTGTATCTTACATACTCACTTTATTTCATCCTTAATCACTCAATTTTGTTTTTTTAAAAATAATTTGCTGAAACTTGCCATGTAAGTTTGATCTAAAACAGCAAACTTTGTGAGTTTATTTAATTCTGATTACCCAACTCTGAAATAGATGACATGGATCATAGAGAAGAGGAATACATTCCCCTCTAACAGATTTAAATCTAATTTTAACACACTTGGTAGCAAGGCATGCAATTTTATGAAGCCGTACTTCGCATCAAATTGAACCTTAATGGGAAGATGTTGTGTTTTTATGTGTTATTTCTTGCAGATAATCACCTCTCTTTGCCCCATGTATGGCAGTCGATTTGGTTATGCCCTTTCCAATGGCACAGTTGGAGTTTACGACAAAACAGCCCGATACTGGAGAATTAAAGTTAGTGTAATTCAGCCTCCAATATTCAGGGATTTTATACTTATTGAAAGACTTCTGGACTAATTACTGAAATTCTTTTTCAGTCCAAAAATCATGCCATGAGCATTCACGCTTTCGACCTTAATTCTGATGGAGTGTGTGAACTGATAACTGGTTGGTCCAATGGGAAGGTAAGTTGAAATACAGAGTCCAGGTATAATTCAGAGACTGTCTGAGATAGACAGGCTGCACAACTCAGAAGCAGTAACACAAGAATATAAACTTGTCTTCCTTGGCTGTGCTTTCAAAGTTAACTTCATAATCTTTGCACATTTTTTCTTCCTGCCATAGGATCAGTACTACAAGTGAATGAGTGTCCTTTTGGTCTTAAAAGCCTGATTTGGGAGAAAAATCTTTGGGAAGATCTTTCTAAATCTGTTCCTTGAAGAAATGAGAATCAGTTTAATCAGGTTGATCATAGATGTAGGACCATAAAAAAAGGAATTTTAATAAGCAAATAATGAACTGTTTGTATAGCTCTTCTCTAATAAATCTTTAAGACTGACTGAAAACTTAGAGTTAATGGGAAGAATCATGTTATCATATTGTTTTCCCAGCCATAAAATTCAAAATACAATCTTTTTGCTTTCTTTCCTTTTTTAAGTTCAAATCAGAATTTTCTGCAGACTTCTGGCAAGTCAGGATTGTCTTGTTAGAAACTAAGTAGCTGCCAGATCTCCATGGGTACCATTTGCCCTAGCTTTCTTGCGTGACAGTGCTGGATTGCCTGAAGGAGATCAGCTAATTCCTGCCTTTTCTTCTTTGGTTTTTCTTTGCTTTTGGCCAGGACCTTGTAACCTTCCTCTGGTGTTGTGTGAAGAACAGGTTCTATAGAACTGTTGTGTTGGTTCCTGCTTCTTTACCTGGTTTTGTCTTTGGCGTGGGCATTAAAAATGATAAGGGAAGGGGCGCCTGGGTGGCTCAGATGGTTAAGCGTCTGCCTTTGGCTCAGGTCATGATCCTAGGGTCCTGGGATCGAGTCCCGCATTGGGCTCCCTGCTAGGCGGGGAGCCTGCTTCTCCCTCTGCCTCTGCCTCTCTCTCTCTCTCTCACTCTCATGAATAAATAAATAAAACATTTAAAAAAAAATGATAAGGGAAGACTGGGGTGCCAGGGTGGCTCAGTTGGTTGCATCTGACTCTTGATTTCAGCTCAGGTGATCATGTCAGGATCATGGGATCGAGCCCCGCATCCAGGTTTTGCACTCAGTGGGGCATCTGCTTGAGATTGTCTCTCTCTCCCTCTCCCTCTGTCCCTCCCACTGCACATAGTTTCTCTCTTTCTCTTGCAAATAAATAAATCTTTTAAAATAAAAAACAAAAAATTATAAGGGAAGATTGTGTTCTTTAGTAAGAAACATGAAAATTGTTTTTATTTATTTATTTATTTATTTTTAAAGATTTTATTTATTTATTCATAAGAGA